CCCCCCCCCCCCCCCCCCCCCATTGCTTATCTTAAGTTTTGAATTGGGGGAAGGCAAGGTGGGGGAACATTTTTTGACAAAATTATCTATTATTGAAACAGAATCTTGACATCGTTGTCAAGCAGCCATGTGTCTTCTCTACCACAATTATATTTTATGTGGACACAGGACTCTAAAGCATTCGTGTGTGTGTGTGCGTTTGCGTATGTGAATAAATGTGTGCTTGTGTGCGTGCGTATGTGTTTGTGTGAGAGAGAAAGAAAGAGAGAAAAGAGAGTTGTTATCCAAGAAATACCTCAACTCACTCACTCGTTGTCAAGCTTATATACGTAAAACAGTAAATCGCTGGCAGACTATAAAATCGTGATGAATATCGTGTATGCATTCAGATGTCTTAACGCAGTTCTTTTAAATATCCCGGATGAGTAGAAGCCCATTCTGAGGTTCAAAGCCGAAAACTAAGTGATCGCAACTTGAATCCCATTCACTGTACAAACAAAACAAACACCTTTTATCACCTTTCATTTATTTACAAAATGTGACCGAAAGATGAGCTCTTATCTTTGATCACTTTTTCGTACCAAGAGGTCATCTTTCAACTCCTATTATATAAAAAAATGTCCTTTTTGTCAACTTTCACCTCTCGAAAACACTGTCATTCATATTTTCATGAACTTTTACTTTTCAAGAGTTAAGCTATCACTTTTCATATTGTGAAAGACCATTTCATTTTCCAGTTTTTAATAACTGGAAAGATCTACATTCACGTTTTGTTTATCTTTTCATTCTCTTTAAGTTAACAACTCATTTTATCATATCGATAGGGCGGTATTATGTTTATATATTTTTATATTACATATCTTAATTCCGTATCTAACATTCAGGGCAAGATATAAAAAAGCGAATACTTTGCAAACTTGTTTGCACAAAGAATTTTTGCACTTCGCCTAAGATATTCAGAGCTACATTAAATTTGGTGATTTGGAAAAAATATTATGCTGGGGTTTGTGTATAAATTGTAATCAAATAACATACAAATGACCCTTGTGTTTTGTGCTTAATTTTTAAACCAAAGGTGTTTATGTAATGATATCTATAAGTGTAATGATATCAGTAAGTGAGGTTTCGGGTAAAATTCTGCTTTCTATAAACTAAGATTCACTTTGGCCCCATTCAGATCGAGAAAAGTTGTGTGCTAGCTAAGCCGGGACCTAAATATGGCGGACCTACATGAAAGGTAGTCCGCTTAATCCTTTGATGGTTTCTCCGCCTCTCACACGGCTCCCCGCGCGTCGTCCCTCGACTGGTTGAAGCCCAGATTTAATTATTGGGTCCCTGCGTGGACCACGCGTGGGGAGGCGGAAAAGAGGAGGACAGAACATTACAGGATTACGCGGTCTTCCTTTCATGTAGGTCCGCCATATTTAGGTCGGGGCCAAGCTAGCACTCGGCTCTTCTCGATCTGAATGGGGCCTTTTTCATTTCAGTCCATGTATCTCTAGCGCCTAACTGCGCACACATTGTAATTGTGTGGCGAGAAAGTGATGGCGTTTAGACCCTCCATTCCATTGGGTGGGTTTTCCCCCTCCGGTACCTTGAAGGTAAAATTCTGAAGCAACGTTGTGAGGAAAATGAATGATTCCATTTCAGCCAGCCCCTTACCAAGACAAACACGAGGCCCTGAAATACAAATAAGCAATCACAATGAGAAAATGTACACTTAAATAAATAAATTTTTATATATTATGAATATAAAGTAGGTCTTGGGTATTTCTTATTGGATCGGATTTAAGCAATTCTGATTTTCTTTACAGAGAAAAATTTGCTTAGTTGTTTATATAGACATACATATGTTATGATTTCACTAATGTGCCACTGCATGGTAACATGAAGGTTTAATATTAAGTAACGTACCTATGGAAAACGGTATCATTTTGTCCGACTTGATCACTTTACCATCGTCTTCCAGCCATCTTTCTGGTTTGAAGTTGTAAGGATCCTCGAAGTTATTCTTATCGTGAAGAACCCGGTACAAATCTCCCAAAATTATGGTGCCCTTGGGAATGGTGTATCCGGCCAAAGTTGTAGCTTCACTGGTAGCATGGGGACCACCCATGGGAACTTATGACATGGAATGAAAGATTTCTCGTTCTTGAAATGATTCATTTGAATGGAGACCACAGCGTGGCGCCATACGAGACTCGACAATTTGCGAAAAATCATACGAGGTGGGGTAAAATTTTACAGTGACAAGGTTGGGACGCTTTGTTCCGGGAAGAAAGCAATATAAGTGAAACCAAAGGTAAATTGGTTCTGTTCTGCAATACATGCATCTATTCCTTGCAGTAACACCCTGTTTCCACTCTTCTCCATAAGTTTGTTCAGACGAGAACTACATATATTTCCACCCCGGAAACAGTACCAGAAATCGAACAAATTCCTTTCTTCTGTTCATTTTCTTTGTTTTCCATTTTTATTAATTAGATGTCGCAGTTTTCCAAAACGGCACTTAACTAAGTAAACACCGCTGTATCGCTATTTTTGTTAAATGAAGATTGTTTATTGGCAATAAATGTTTAAAAAAGTTCAAATAAGATACTGACCAACAGTAGACAGTCGAAGGACCTCCAGTATGGTTGCTTCAGTGAACGGCATCCTGGCCTTGTCCTCCATCTTGGCAACACGACCTTGACCTATGACCTTAATTTAAATACATTTATCAAACAAAGTATATCATATCTTTACGAAACACGTTCTTTAATTTTAATTTAGTTACATTGTACAATTACTGACTTTAGCTGAGATCAACTCTAGGCTCGGTTCAAAGTGGGGATAGCGAAGTGAGGATAATTGACCGACGCCAAAGATCCACTATCCCAGCTGACCGAAACATAGAGTTTATACCAAGTACCTACGTCTTTTAATTAGTGGAAACAATAAAATCACATTCAGAACTGCTTAATAAAAACCAGGTCAAGCGGTAGCCATAGAGATCCAATGAATGTGTTGGTCAACCCACTTACAATTTGTCTCTCGAAAAATCGGAAAACGCCAAAATTCATGAACATATATTACAAACAAAGAGGCATAAGTACATCTTATATTCAGAATAAAAAACCTAAGAAATAAGAACACAAGATTATCTCAGATTGTCCCTCCTATTCATTTTTACTGTGGGTCGTTACCCGATCAATTTCCTGCTGCACCCTCTTCTGTACATCCGGGTGATTTACCATATGAACCAGGGACCATCTCAAAGTATTAGCTGTTGTGTCGGTTCCAGCTAAATATAGATCAACTATGATGCGGAACACGTTCCATTCTGAAATTAATAACGTCAATGGAGAACTCAAATAATAATAATGATAATAATAATAATAATAATAATAATAAGTATAAGTAATAAGTGATAACAATCAGAAAATCGTCGATATATGATTGGGCGGTACGTTGTGAACGTAAAGTTTTAAAGACAGTCGTCTGCTAAATCACATCAAGTCGGGATCAGATTTGAAATTGTCATTAAACGGTTACATACCTGTGTAAATTTCTGGATCTAACCTGTCTTGAGTGACCTTTATATAGAGGTCAATGAAGTCCCGGATGTCAGTCGGATCAAAGGACTGGCGATGCCGTTTCACTTCCTGTCTTACCAAACTATAGAATTTATCCACGAGGGCAAATTTCTTTTTCTGAAATGAAAGTTTTCAAATTTTATTTATGTCGAATAGCTTTTTTGTGATTTTTCACATATATGTGGCAACAGTCTGTTATAAAAACCAATATACAAATTTACAATTGCCCACGAGAGCGAATATATTTTTCATATTTAATAAAACTTTGTTTTATTTTGTACGGATCGAAATATATTCTTGTGGTTTAAGCCACACACTTTGTCAAACAAACTTTACAAGAAAAGTATGTACTGCGTCGACAATGGTCTGATTTCGAAAAAATATTAATTTATTTAGTATTGTTAAAAATTTAATGGCAAAATATGACACCAGGACTGAACAGGAAATGAAGAAGAATATATAGGTGAATAATAAGCACTGTGTAAAAGGTCTTATGCCAAATATTGCGAATAATTCCATTTTACCGGAAAAAAGAAGCGCGCCAAGTTGGTAAAGGACAGTGGTCCTCCTTTGTTCATTCTCATGGATTCCTCCAAAACTGACAACATCTTTGGGGTGTCATCATAGTCATATCTGAAATCATTTTAAGGAAATTGTCACTTTTATAAAAGAAAGATAAAACATAATGGACTTCATCCAAGAAGGCATAACAAAGAGTACTGCGTGACGTCACACGAGATTTTAAAACGAGAATCCACGTGAGGTGGGGCTTTTCAGCAGATAAAGTGAAATTCACTATGCTGGCAGATTCGTTTAAAGTAGCAATTTAAAAAAATGACACATAAACTGTTAAACAATAGACGTTAGTTTGGAAAAACGTAGGAGAAAACGATTAGAAAGTTAACCACAGTTGAAATTCTGTGAGCTTTTACACGGCAGTCGCGTGGACGGTCTCAGATGAAGCCCACTGTCTTATGATTTAGATAAATAGTTGAATGTACATGGGAATGCTTACTATTAACACATACGGCGGTGCAATGTTCACGTTCGTCTGTGGATTCATATAATCCGGAATCCGCCCCTGGTATATAACTTCCTTTATGAATTGGCTGGCTAATTTATTTTACTTAAATTTCTGCACCGTACTACCGGCAGTACATATATATTCTGCAAATTCATTTAAAGAATCTTAAATATGTAAAAGAAAGTGTTCAATGCTTGTGTGCTGCCGGCAATCACCTATGGTTCAGAGACCTGGGCACTGAATGCCTCCATGGAAGACAAGCTACAAGTAGCTCAGAGAAAGATGGAAAGAATTATGTTGAACATCAGTCCAAGAGAGCGGAAAACGAATGTATGGTTACGTGAACAGACCAAAGTTAAGGACATACTGATCACAGTTAAAGAAATGAAATGGAGGTGGGCAGGACATGTCAAAAGAATGAAGGACAATAGGTGGACAATCAGGCTTACAGAATGGATCCCAAGGTATGGACAAAGAAAAAGAGGAAGGCCGGTCAAACGATGGAGGGATGAATTAGATGACTACTGGAAGTCTTGGAAGAAGAAACCTTGGCCAAACTGGAAATCTGAGGCTCAGGATAGGAAACAATGGAAAAAGCATGCTGAGGCCTTTGTCCAACAGTGGAACACTATAGGCTCTAAATGATGATGAATGATAAAATATTTTTACTAGTTGCTAAGTGTAGCTATTCAGTTACCTAGCTCCAAACACTACGATAGAAATAATGTTGTTGACAGCTTTTCCAATCCTTGCGCTGGGAGAGAAAGCCTTTCCATTTTCATCTTCAATGTTTTGCACCAAATATCTTGCCTCATCCTGAATTTTTTCTTGTAAACTTTTTCTCCCGAGGCCGAAATCTCGTAGAGACGAGACTGTGAATCTCCTCAGCTCCTTCCATGCGTGTCCATTTTTAAAGGCAACTCCAGCACCTGCAGTTTACATATTATTTTGATATTTAATGACTCAATTACCTGAATTACCAGACATGGAAATGGAGATAATCACAATCACAATCAAAAATGCGCGCGTGCGCACACACACACACACAATTAATGATCATCACATAAACGCCCACAAAAACCCAAACACAATCACGCACACACACACACACACACACACACACACATCTCTCTCTCACACACACACACACACACACACACACACAATCACACACACACTATCTCTCTCGCACACACACACACACACACTCTCTCTCTCTCTCACACACACACACACATACACACACACACCCACACACTCACACACACATACACACACATACTCACACACGCAGGTGTCGAAATGCTTAACCACTACATCTTGCACGCTTCATCTGCTCCCCCAACCCCATCCCCTCCTCAACACCCCACCCCCTCCTCATACCCCCTCCCCCTCCTCAACACCCTCACCCCCTCCTCAACACCCCACCCCCTTCTCACACCCCACGACCTCCTCACACACCAACCCTCTCCTCACACACCCACCACCTTTGCTCTAAGTCTTACAGGCATAATCAAGTAATCGGGACAAATAAAAATCTAAATAATGAGAAATTGTTTCAGTTGCTATCTGTTAAACCCATGAGAAATTGTTTTAGTTGTATCTGTTAAACCCAAGTTGCCATGGTCTTTATCTCCATAAAAGATGTCAGGCCATGCGGTGCGGACTTCACACTGCACACATACGTTTGATCCTAAACGAGTGTGAGAGCATGTACCAAAGTTGGATTTGATGGATTGGGGGGGGGTAGGGGTACGCCATTCTCCCACCATTAGACCACGGTGGAAGTAAAGAACAAAAGACTCAGACGTTGTGTAATGCCCCTATTTCACACAGACCACGAATCGCCAGGAATTGAAAATTTCAGGATTTGTGGTTGAATCGTAATCAGTTCGTGAAGTTCTTAACAGATTCGTATATAATCGTAGTCAGTTCTTGCAATTCTTGATCAATCGGGAATTCGTGGCAAAAATTTTGAGCTGTTCAAAGTCTTGGCCACGAATCATAGTGAATTTCTGGACAATATTCGTGCGATTCCAGCCGAATCCCACGAATATTCGTAACACTCTCGCACCTGTTTCGTAACTGAATCGTAGAGCGTGTCGAATTAGACCAGAAAATTGGCAAAATCTAACGAATCCTGAAATTTGTCAATTCATGGCGATTCGTGGGTTTCGTGGTCTGTGTGAAATAGGGGCCTAACTCGCGTAACTACACTTCTCGCATGAGTGCGTTATAACCCGCTAATGGACCCGTGGTCTAAATAAGATATATATAGATCCCTCGTCAGCGAGGGTTATGTGACATCCACTCGTGCTTCGCACTCGTGTATGCCACATAACCCTCGCTGACTCGGGGTCTATCTATTACTTAAAAGTATGACGAGCAAAATAAAACAATATCAGTTTGTTTACTATACCGTGTCCTACATATTATGCTAATAGGGTCCTTGTGTACTGGAAAGATCACTTGCATAAAAAGTTGAAATCACTTTATTTACCGTCTTTTCCGACTAATCGTCTTATAAAATATACCCAGGTAGGCCTATCACTGACTGTAGCTGCATTCTTCACGAAAGCCTCTTCTATCAGCTCATAAGTCCCCAGCATTATCATGTGTTGTTCACCAAGTTGAATGTGCATGATATCTCCGTATGTATCATACCATGGAAGAAGATCTGTCGGTTGTCGTCTTTTACCGCTGATCATCAGCTGAGGGAGACATCCCACCACGGGGAAACATAATGGTCCGGGCGGCCAGTTCACCCGAGGATTGCTGGATGACAGGATCCACAGACTTAACAACAACACTGCCGCGAATATCATAACTGTCGGCAAACCAATGGTAGCGAATAACTTAGAGAAAATCTGTACAAGAACGTTGGTCATTTTGGATCCCACAGTTACAGCAACTTCTCCAGTATTTAGTAAGAGCTAGAATGGCTGAAGGGATATGCCGCTATAAGCCCAAATGCATGTATTCTACCTGTACACGGAACAAGGTCAATACTTGACGCCTTTTTATATGTGCAATGTAAACGTGTTTACGTGCAGGTATTACTGCAGAGGCGTATTTTGAAACCATGACATGAAGGGATGGCAAGATTTCACACGAAAGTTCAAGAAATAATTTATTAACCAAACTCAAAAGTACTTCGTCTGTCTCAACCCACCTACAGTCTTGAGAGCATGCACATATATTTCCATTTCTTTTATCAGAGACCAGCTAAGTTATAATAGTGCCATACATCAACTCTCGCTAGACAGCATAGTGTATAGAATTTACTGAGGACATCACATAACTGTTAATGTCTAGTGAAAATCTAACTGTACATGACTCTGGTTGAGGGCAGTAAACACACACGTGACACCTTTTACAGCTTCACTTGGCAAGGCCCTGCTCGACAATGGAATAGCACCGTGTTATTATTATTATTATTATTGTAGTTGTTGTTATTTTGTAATTAAAATTTGAAGGTACAGTTATAAATTCTAGCTGGCTACATACAAATTATAAAGCACTAAAATCAATGTTTGATTATATTTACAAAAACCCTGGTAAAACTTAAATGCAACAATATAGTCGATCAAATTACTAAATATTTGACAGTGCTCAGGGCAGAAATGTCATTGAACACCCCCCCCCCCCCCCCCCCATTCAAGAGTTTTGGTTCTTTAAGTGCATGAGAAACTTCGATGCGTATTATAATATTCACTCTGTTTAGTTGACTGCTCCATTCTTAAAAACCATATCCATGCAATTTATTTACTTCAGTTTCAATATATGTACTGAAATTAGTCAATTTCAGGTGCATAGTATTTGATACCCCCACCCCCATTGCTTATCTTAAGTTTTTAATTAGGGGAAGGAAAGGTGGAGGTACATTTTATGACAAAATATTCGATTATTGAAACAGAATCTTGACAACGTTGTCAAGCAGCCATGTGTCATCTCTACCACAATTATATTTTATGTGGACACAGGACTCTAAAGCATCCGTGATTGATGGTTAAGAAAATACAAAATAGCGGTGAAAATATCCACGTTTTATACCATTTATTAAACTATATAACATGTACCCCCTCAAAACCATCACGTTGAATTTTGGTATCTGGAATAAAAAGCACTGTTTATAACAATGTACACCTGTGAGGTGATCATTTGTAAATAAAAGCACATGGAACTGGAGTGAGACAATCTTTTTGACCAATATTGTATATAGGAAGTGAGCTGTGGGGGAAAATCCTGTATAAACTAGGAAACAGTTTATCGTTTCAATCCGTGTATATGTGCAACCGTGGCACGACAACAAATGTATTGTCCTTTTAAAAGACTTTATTCCAACAGATCTTACTACATAGAATATAGTACTTTCTTCACGTCCGATCACTGATGCATCTCTCCCGATCACTGATGTATCTTTTTAGTATAGATTCACGTGGCACAAAAAGAGCGCTAACACCACCTATACGAAATCATTACGTCTATTTACATACTATAGTTACTTATACAAAGGTACAATGCACTATTACATATTATTATTAATATGTACATGTACATGCAATTGCTCTATTACATTAAATTCTAGCGCCTAACTGCGCACACATTGTAATCGTGTGGCGTGAAAGTGATAGTGTTTAGACCCTCCACTCCACTGGGCGGGTTCTCCCCCTCCGGTACCTTGAAGATGAAGTTCTGAAGCAACGTGGTGAAGAAAATGAACGATTCCATTTCAGCCAGTCCCTTACCAAGACAAACACGAGGCCCTGAAATACAAATAACACATCACAATGAGAAAGTGTACACTAAATTACATAAATAAATTTATATAAATAATGAAGATAAAGTGGCTCTTATGTATTTCTTATTAGATCGGATTTAAGCAATTCTGAATTTCTTTAGGTGACAAGGTTTAGTTGTTTACATAGAGATAAAGAAGTAATGATTTCACTTATGTGCCACTGCATGGTAACATGAAGGTCGAATATTAAGTAACGAACCTATGGAAAATGGTATCATTTTGTCCGACTTGATCACTTTACCATCGCAATCAAGCCATCTTTCTGGTTTGAAGTTGTAAGGATCCTCGAAGTTATTCTTATCGTGAAGAACCCGGTACAAATCTCCCAGTATTATGGTGTCCTTGGGAATGGTGTATCCGGCCAAAGTTGTAGTTTCACTGGTGGCATGGGGACCACCCATGGGAACTGATGACATGGAATGAAAGATTTTTCGTTCTTGAAGGAATTCATTTGAATGGAGACAACGGCATGACGTCATACAAGACTCGACAACTTGCGAGAATTCACGAGAGGTTGGGTAATATTTTACAGCGATAAGGGTGGGACGCTTTGTAACGAGAAGATCAGATTAGAAAGCAACTTATCAGTGACACCAAAGGTAAAATCGATTCTGTTCTGCAATAGACTAATTGACCGAACTACCCGTAAATAAATTATGCGTGCTTCTATTCGTTGCCGTAACACCCTGTTTCCACTCTTCTCCATAAGTTTGTTCAGACGAGAAGTACGTGTATTTCCATCCATGAAACAGGACCAGAAATCCAACAAATTCTTTTCTTCTTTTTCTTTTCTTTTTTTTTTTTTTTCATTTTATGACTTACATGTCGCACCAATCCAAGACGGTATTTAATTAAGCAGACACTGATGTATCGGTACTTTTATTAAATAAAGTGCAAATAAGTTACTGACCAACAGTAGACATGCGAAAGACCTCCAAGATGGTTGCTTCAGTGAATGGCATCCTGGCCTTGTCCTCCATCTTGGCGACACGACCTTGACCTATGACCTTAGATAAAAAATATATTAACCAAACAAAGTATATCATATGGTTACGAAACACGTGCTTTAATTTAGTTACATTTTACGATTACTGACTTTGGCTGAGATCACCTCTTGGCTCGGTTCAAAGTGGAGATAGCGAAGTGGGGTAAATTGACTGACGCCGAAGATTCACTATCCCAACTGACTGAAACATAGTTTAAAACAAGTAATGAAAACCAGCTGACGTAGTGAACAGAGAGATCTAATATGAATGTGTTGGCTACGGGAGGTCAACCCACTTAACAATTTGCTTCACGTGACTGCCTCTCCACAAAACGGTAAACGCCAAGAATAAAGAACCAAAGAAATAAGAACACAAGATCATCTAAGATTCCAGCTCTTGTTCATTTATATCTTGGGTCGTTACCTGATCAATTTCCTGCTGAACCCTCTTCTGTACATTCGGGTGATTTACCATATGAACCAGGGACCATCTCAAAGTATTAGCTGTTGTGTCCGTTCCTGCCGAATATAGATCAATTATGATGCGGAACACGTTCCATTCTGAAATTAATAACGCCAATAATGAACTTAAAACAAATATAATAATAATAATAATAATAATAATAATAAGTAGACGAAGATTACAATCAATGGGCGGTGATTACAATCAGAGAATCATCGATATTTGATCGAGCGGTACGTTTTAAAAACAGTCGTCTGCTAAATCACATCAAGTCGGGATCAGATTTGTACGTGAAATTGTCATTTAACGGTTACATACCTGTGAAAATTTCTGGATCTAGTCTCTCTTGAGTGACCTTTATATAGAGGTCAATGAAGTCCCGGATGTCAGTTGGATCAAAGGACTGGCGGTGTCGTTCTACTTCCTGTCTTATCAAACTATAGAATTTATCCACGAGGACGAATTTCTTTTTCTGAAATGAAAGTTACCTAATTTTGTTTGAATCGAATAGCACTTTTGTGATATGTTGCAACAGGCTTTTATATAATACAAAATTTACAATTAGTCGACGAGGGCGAATATATTTTACATATGAAAAATTTTTTTTTAATGATAAAGGAATCGAAATATATTCTTGTGGTTTAAGGCACACACTTTGTCAAACAAACTTTACAAGAAAAGTAAAAGTATTGTTCCGACAATGGTCTGATTTCGAAACATATGAATTTATTTAGTATTGCTCAAAATTTAATGGCAAAATATGACACCAGCAATGAATAGGAAATGAAGAAGAATATATAGGTGAATAATAAGCACTGTGTAAAAGGTCTTAAGCAAAATATTGCGAATAATTCCATTTTACCGGAAAAAGGAAGCGCGCCAAGTTGGTAAAGGATAGTGGTCCTCCTTTGTTCATTCTCATGGATTCCTCCAAAACTGACAACATCTTTGGGGTGTCTTCATAGTCATATCTGAAATCATGTTTAAGGAAATTGTCACTTTTAGAAAATACAGAAGAAAAAAACATAGTGGACACCATCCGAGAAAGCATAGAAAGAGCACTGCGCGACGTCACACGAGATTTTGAAACGAGAATTCGCGTGTGGTGGAGCTTTTCAGCAGACAAACACCCAAACCCAAATTAATTCAAAGTTGTTGAATTTTTTTACATGTGCATAGAACAAAATTCCACGACTGCCTCAATTTAAATTCAAATTTTAATTTTTATACCCCGTATATATATATATATATATATATATATATATATATATATATATATATATATATATACGGGGTATAAAAATTATATATATATATATATATTGTAATGGTTCAGTCATGGTAAATTAGACATGTCGTAAGGATGTTTAACATTTTAACTGTAACCCAAGGGGCTTTGTATAATGGCTAATACTAGGTAACGTATGTTTCATTTTGTTCAAGTACTGGGTGCTAGAGAAAATGTTTTCTTTTGCTGACCCAAAAATATATTGTGATTCCATGATAGTTTGACATTTCTGATATAATATTTGGAGCACGAGAGCAAAAATAATTTGATAAATCCTTATTTTACTGTCGGCAGGGTGTATTTTTCCCGGTTTTTTAAATATTTAGGGACAAGCAAACTAAAGTTGATCAAAGACAATTAACTGCTCTATACAGAAGATCATTATAATTTTTACAACGTTATACTTGTAGGAGATAAATCAAAGACCAAAACCAGTGATGATTGAATTTTCAAAGTGAGTAAAACGTTTCACAGTTGGACTTTTTGCATTTGTGACAGTAACGTATGTTCCTTTTTGGGGTAGGACGATGAATTATTTTTTATTATTCAAGGTTCCAGGAGAGTGAAACTTTGATACAAACTTCTTCATGTGGGACCTTAAAATAATCAAACATAGTCTGCAATCTGAGCACTAAATATATTTAATAGCATGCCTGCGACATCAAATATTGCACCTCTATATTGGGTTTTTTGTGTAAAGTGAAACACACTATGGTGGGAGATTCGTTTAAAGAAGCAATTCAAAGCTGTTATACAATAGATGTATGTTTGAAAAAACGTACCATGTTCAAGTTTGTCAACCGTTTTAACATAGTATACATTGGCGGATTTAGGACAGATGTGTCAGACCCAGCTCTTCGATTTCGGACATAAAATCACACTTTTGACTAGCTGAATTATAGTTCTAAACCGTATGTGGCACTGTTTGCCCTCTAAAATATTTGAAGCCTTTCAATGGGCTACGAACCCCACGTCAACTTTACAATAAGGGGGTGGGGCGAGGGTCGGCTTCGCATCTGGGGTCTGTCGGATCCCCTTCATATAATCCTGGATCCGCCCCTGGTATAGAACTTCCTTTATGAATTGTCTGGCTTATTTATTTTACTTACATTTCTACACCGTACTACCGGCAGTATATACATATATACTCTGCAAATTCATTTAAAACATCTTAAATATTTTAATAGTTGCTAATAAGTGTAGCTATTCAGTTACCTAGCTCCAAACACTACGATAGAAATAATGTTGTTGACAGCTTTTCCAACCCTATCCCTTGGAGAGAAAGCCTTTCCATTTTCATCTTCAATGTTTTGCACCAAATATCTGGCCTCATCCTGAATTTTTTCTTGTAAACTTTTTCTCCCAAGGCCGAAATCTCGAAGAGACGAGAGTGTGAATCGCCTCAGCTCCTTCCATGCGTGTCCATTTTTCAAGATAACCCCAGCACCTGCATTTTAGATATAATTAAAATATTTTATGACTCAGTTACCCAAATACCCTCCATTAATAACAAAAACAGACACGATAATGGAGACGGAGAAAAACACAAAAACATTCAAACACACACGCGGGCGCACACACAATTATCATCATCACACAAGCGCCCACACAAACCCACACTCACACACACACGCACACATGCTGAAATGCTGAACTACTAAATTATTGCTTGTTACTTCCGTTGCTTCATGTAAAACCCAAGTTGACATGCCCTTCATATACATAAAATATATCTGGTCATGCGGTGCGGACTTCACATCATTCACTTACGTCTGTCCCTAAATAATTGTGAGAGCATGTACCGATGTTGCATATGGTGGATTGGGGGGTGTGTAGGGGTACGCCCTTCTCCATCCATTAAATCAATTAAAATTTTAATAATTACAACCAAACAATATCAGGTTGTTTACTATCCGTGCCCTACTTATGTTAAACTAATAGAATCCTTGACTACGGGAAATCTAATTTAAATAAAATCACTTTATTTACCGTCTTTTCCGACTACTCGTCTTATAAGATATAACCAAGTGGGCCTAGCACTGACTGTAGCTGCATTCTTCACGAAAGCCTCTTCAATCAGCTCATAAGTCCCAAGCATTATAATGTGTTGTTCACCAAGTTTGATGTGCATGATATCTCCGTATGTATCATACCATGGAAGAAGATCTGTCGGTTGTCGTCTTCTACCGCTGATCATCAGCTGAGGGAGACATCCCACCACGGGGAAACAGACAGGTCCGGGCGGCCAGTTCACCCGAGAATTGCTGGACGACAGAATCCACAGACTTAACAACAACACTACCACGAATATCAAAACTGTCGGCAAACCAAGGGTTGTAAAAAACTCAGAGAAACTCTGGACGACGTTGGTCATTTTGAATTCTACCGTTACAGCAACCTCTCAAGTATTTTTGAGAGCTAGAAGGCAAAAGGGATATACCGCTATAAGGCCTAATGCATGTATCCTACCTGTACACGGAACAAGGTCAATACTGGACGCCTTTATGTGCTATGTACGTGAGTGCTTGCAGGTATTACTGTAGAGGCGTATTTGGCAATCCAACGTCACTGATTTAAAGAGATGGCCAGATTTCACACGTAAGTTCAAGGAATGATTAAACAACCAAACGCAAAATCATTTCGTCTGTCTCAACCCAACTACAGCCTAGAGAGCATGCACATATTACTGACAGTCAATGAAATCGCATCATGCATTAATCAAATAATATTTTAAGTTCCTTTGGCATATTAAGAAAATAACAGATTTCGTGTTAAATATGACCCATTATTCAGTCTCACAAGGTGAAATAAAGGTCAGAAAAGATGCAAGCTCACATGAACAAATGTTTTTTGGTCCCCCCCCCCCCCCCAGCCTCTAGCATCCAAGGGCCCGCAGTCGCTCTTCCAGTTTTCTGATGCATTTTCATTGACTGTCAGTAGATATTTACATATTTTATACCAGAGACCAGCCAAGTTATGGCAATGGCATATATTAACTCTCGCTAGCTATAGACAAGTGTATCGAATTAACTAAAGACATTACTGTGAATATCTAGTCAAAAATCCAACTGTACGTGACTTTGGGTAGGGGTCTACTAACAGGGGCGGATCCAGGATAATTTGAAGGGGGGTCCAGAACGACAGGCGTAGGATGCGGAGCCGACCATCTCCCACTTGGTGTGGTATATGGTTCTCAAGGCCCTGATTTTTTTTTGTGTGTGTGCAGGGCCGTAGCCTGAGCAAAATGCCAGGGGGGACAGTAAGCGGACACGAGGGGGCGAAGCTACCGAGGGGGGAGGGTGTGGTGTGTAAAATTCCAAATTCCAGGGGGGGCAGCTGCCCCCCCTGCCCCCCCGGAGGCTACGGCCCTG